GAAAAAAAAAAAAAAAAAAAAAAAAAAAAAAAAAAAAAAATTCCCATGTTCCCACATTTTCATTTAAAATGGTTTTCCTAAATTATCATTTAAATCCCCTTGGACTAAAAGGTAAGCCTGTTCATTGTTTAGTCCTGTCTTTAGTGAATGGTGAGAACATCTGTTCACAATTCTCAAAACATGCCTCCTTATACTTAAAAACTACTAATGTCCCCACCCCGAATCCCTGCCAGTCTTCACTTCTCCGAAGTAAATAAAAAATGTTCCTGCAGTCTTTCCTCTCAGAGCCTATATCCAAACCTCACTGTTGTTATGCTTTTCTCTGGCCCCTTCCCAAGTCCTACACATGTCACCTCAGTTCCAAATTTCGGCCTGAAGAAAGGATTATAATGAAAGCCTGAACAAGGTTTAGAAAGACCAGTGCCTCACCTCTATCACAAGCTCAGCTCTGCCACATTTGGGGACCATTCCCGTGCAAACTCCAACTTCTCAGCCAACTCACATTTTCTTAGTGGTCCACTCTGACCTCCCTGACCTGCCCCTACCACGTGTCATACCAAGACACATTTGCTTCACTTTATAATGTATTTAGTTTTTCAGTCCCTAAATGAACCTACCATTGCTTATTAAACATAATCCCATCCCACTTATTTTCACCTAACTCTCCTTTTCTGAGACGCAGTCCTGATAATGATGGTAAAAGGATCTCATCCCACCCACCCATCCCTCCTCTCCCACCTTGCTTGCAGCAGGAATGGAAAGCACAAGGTATGTGCTACTCCACGTGAGCTCAGGGAGGAGGCTGCCTTCAGGCTAAAACACCATGAGCGGCCCAAGTTTAATCGAAGAGCTCTGCACTGGGAAGTCAAACAAAACCCAGATTAGAACAATACACTACCTTGACTTCCCACTGCCATTGACCCAGGCACAGCTATCCCCTTAGATTCTCATGGGAGGTGGCAGAGCAGGCATTGCTGGATCCTCCGGCTACAAAAATGTCTAGTGGCACCATATACAGATCCCTAATATAAGTCAATGAATGAACAGTAAGCCACATATAGTCAACACATATACTCTCTTCAAAAATAACCAAAGCCTTGGGACTCACTCTATATAAAATACTTTTTAAGAATGACTATGTTTTGTAATGATGAATATGCTACCTATCCTGATTTGATCATCACATATTGTACACAAATACTGACAATCAACTCTGTACCCCACAAATATGTATAATCAATTTGTTCCAGTTAAAAAAAAAATACTTTTTTAAAAGGAAAGCCCAAACCTTTTCCTCTAGATGGCTCCAGTAAAGAAGAGAAGGGGCTCTTATGCCAAACCTGGTCCCAGTATTTACAATGAAAACTGTCTTTCCTCTTATCTCTGCCCTTCCTGCTGTCTGAGTGATGTGTCCCATCACTTTTCCAAGGCACTAAGCCAACACCGAATTGAGAATAATGCAGAAAATAAACAGCTAAATTCTAAGGTCATTCCTCCTATTAACTCTGATTTATCCTTCACTCAAAGGAAACAGGGCCTCTCCTGCTCGGGGTAATTAAATATTCTCCAACAGCTCACTAACATGCCACCTGGGCATACACACAAGTGTTCCTAAGGCAGAGAGTTACTAATATTTATTTTGTTTTTCACTCCCTTTGGTCTCATACCTTGACTGTCCATTTTTCTATGGGGAATAATTCCTTATTGTTATTTTGGGCCCACTTTCCCCTTCCTTCTCCCCTCACAGCATTTTTCTCCTTTCTGTCACCTCCTTACACTCTCCTCCCACACCTTATATGAAGTTTGAACCTATTACAAAGTGAGAAATGGAAGTCCACTCCTCAGGGGGCAGGGTGAGGCTCAGAGAAGGACTCCAGAGATGGGAGGATCTGTCTGCTTCCAAGAAATGCTTCTACTGAAACACAGGAGGAAGAGCTTGCTTTAGTCCCGCTTGGTTATCAGATGAGAGAGGTCAGCTTATCCACTGAGCAGCCACAAAATCACAGCCCCACTAAGGAAAGACTCCCCCCACCCCCAATCCTTTGCCTTCTTCCTCCTCCTTATTATCCTCAGAGAATAAATGCAAGCAAAACCTACTTCAACTTCCTAGCTGACAACATATTTTTAATTTTTTTTTTAAGAAAAAAGTGCAATTGCAAGTTAGTGCTGGCTCCATCTTCTGAACTCTCTGATAGATTCAGGTTCTCACCATTCATAGAACTACTGTTATGTGTTGAATGTGTCCCTTACAAAAGATATGTTGAAGTCCTAACCCCCAGTACCTCAGAATGTGACTTTATTTGGAAATAGGAACTTTACAGAGGTAATCAAGTTTAATTGAGGTCATTAGGATGAGGCCTAGTATTTTTATAACTTGACTGATTTCCTCAGAAAAGGGGGAAATTTGGACACAGAGACAGACATGCACAG